GATTCAAAGCACCACAAGGGCAGCTTACTTTAAGATATAGCTGGCAATGAAATGATCGAATAGTCATCTCCATGTTTTGAGAACCTCAAACAACTATTGGTTAGATGAAAGATAAGAGCGAGTTAATAGAATCAATACTTCAACAAGTAGAACTTAGTTGTTTGCCAGGTACCCTAAGGGGGGTCGACTCCCGGATAGCATTTCATCAAGTTCAATCATTGCTTAACAAGATCAAGTTTGAAAACTGATTATCGAAAAAAAAAATTCTAGTGAGACAATTTCTACTTGGCACTCAAGTGACTCCTTATGAATCTTGAAGGGCGGGCTTTCAATTTTAACACAATTCAAGCTGGCTCAATATATAGTTGAGGTCCATCTTCTATCTTCATATGATCTAAGAAAATAAGGATAGGACGGTGTGTCGAATCTTCACCATATTAACTCTTGAGTTTCTCTCCCAAGGCTTAATAAATATGATAAATCAAATGATTTCTATGTTTATTTCCTATAATCTCATCAACAACTACCAAATTAACATAGTTTGAATGAAGGAATTGTTAGGATAAACTTTGCAAGAAAGTCCATTTGGAGCAGTTCTTTGATATTTTTCATTGTTTGCTTTATAGACGGTTGCTACTGCTAAGTTCGGCAACAGTTTTTTTGTTACTTTTAGAAATTTGTATGGTTGAAAACAACTATTTTCAAAAAAAAATATGATAGAATATAGCCGTTAAAATAAAACTAATATCCATTTTTTTCAAACAAGGACAAGCATGCAATACTCAATATAGCTTTAAGAAAATCTACTTTCGTTTCCACAGAAATTTTCATAAATAATCGCAGTCACATTACAGAAACACTAAATGGATTTGAATTACTACCAATAAACCGTGTTGCACACAGTATACTCCTCATCTAAAAAATTATCAAATCAATAAAACTGCGCAAACATACAGAAAACGAATCAAACGTTACAAAATCTAATTAATTCTATCACTAATCAAGACGATTTTTTTGTAAAAATGGCAAAAAGATCAATAAAAATTGGGCAAACCTTAAAACATCCGGTGTACTTCGAATCCCTGTTTCACTCATACTTGCTCGAAGTTATGTGGCATTCAACGTATCGCCCCTCGTGAAATTCATCTAGATAGAAAAACATCAGATTCGCTTAAATCGCAGGTGGCCTTCAAACCCTAATATTTACTGGAAACGTATTCTCCAGACCAAACGCGACCGAGCCATCGAACTGGTAACCCCCGAGAAAATGCAAGTCAGACTCACGGGATTCTCCATAATCACACCGTTAAGCAAGCAAACATCGGAATCCAGTTGATCAACTTAAAACCCTTAACCTAGGCATTCATTACTAAGACAGGGATAACTTGTGCTCGTGAACTTTGTGCTCGACGATGAATAACTCAGGCTTGTATTTGGTGAGAGAACATTAAAGAAGAAAGGGGAATACCTTCGAATGTGGGTTTGGATCATGAAGGCCAACGCCATCGCCGGTAACTATGGCGAGGTTGGCGGTAGCAGAGCTCTTCTCCTACTTGCAACGAACCTTCAGCGAGACCTTCATCCTCGCCGGCGGTGGGTTCTCGCGGCGGATACATCGATCGGAAATGGAAGAAAACAAGAGAGCGGTGGGAGACAAGAATCAGAAAGAATATCAAAAAATAATGAAGCTCTTCGGTTGCTGTTCATTCTAATGTGCTTAAATTCAATTTCTGAAATTCACGAATGTAATTAAGAAGTTGATTTATTTATTATTGATGATTCTTTGTAATTGAAATGGGGCATTTACATGCATAGGTCTCAAATTTTATGTATTTACATATCTCACTTATAAGCTTTCAAATTTATACTTATAACATTTGGATCTTTAACATTGCATCAAAAATAGAATATTTTAAGGGTAAAATACACATTTTTATGAATAATTTTAAGGCACTAATTGATATTTATGTAAATATGAAAGTTTGAATGTGAGATATATAAACATATACGAATTGTATGATAAGTATGTAAATTTCCCTCAACTATTTTAGTTTAATCAAGCCCCACTTCATGAATGTTCCGCGATAACCTTCAAGGCACCGGGGGGGTGACGTCCTAGGGTTTCTCGCTGGTGATGCTTGGGCGATTCTAGGGCTTTTCTTCGAGAGATCTATTCTTTCCTATATCAGGGAAGTCATCTCTTATATCTCAGAGAAGTTTTCTCTCATATTATTCTATTATTTATTTTATTTTGTTGCTCTTTTTAGGTATTTTTGGGATTTGCCTCGTGGATTACTCTTTTCCCCCTCTTCTCTCTTCTCCATCTAAATCTATTCTTGGATCTTCTCCGACTTTAACTTAGAAGGGCTTGCTCTCTTCTAATCTTGATAGATATTTGTGTTCTGATTTATCTTATGTTCCACCTGATAATGATAAAGTTATTTTCTCCGAAAATGAAATTGAGGAAGGATCCAATCAACAAGATATTGTTCTTGTTTGGTATGCTTTAAGTAAAGACCATTTTATGGATATCTTCAATAAGTGATACGTAAGATCTAGAAACTTAAAGGCTTGATTGAGCTCCTTTCTCTTACCAAAGGTTTTTTTTTTATTTAAGTTTGTCTGTTTAGAGGATTTGGAGATGGTTATTTTCTGGTGGACCTTGGTTTATTGGAGGCAAGTTATTTCTTTTTAAATGTTGGTCTCTTGACTTTAAACCAGTTAAAGAAGGATTTAAAGATGTGTCTATATGGGTTAAATTTCCTAATTCACGTCTTTTTTTTTTTGTCTGAAAATGAAATTTCCAAAATGGCTAGCCATTTCCAAAGTAGCTAGCTTTTGGCTATGGTGTTGGTTAAATTAAGGATGTTGGGTTGGTCTTCATCCTTGGGCAACTTGGTTATGTGCTCCTACCCCTTGATTGGCTTGGTTATTGTCAGTCCATTGAAGGTTGGGGTGCTACTTCCACCCAGGATTATGGGTATTTGAGTATTGGTTGTTGGGCTCGTTCTGGCTTCCTATGGCTTTCAGGGTTTCTAAGCCTGAGGTTGTAGGATTATCAAGGTCTCATCATTAAATTCCTCAATCTGGGCGGCCCTTTTATTGCATTCACGGTGTGAGTGCCGAGAGCATCAGGTTCCGCTGATCAAAATCCTTTAGTTTCCTAAATAGCTATGTATATAAAAAAAATACAATCAAGACTCTTCTTATAAAGAGTATTCTTGGATATTCCTCAATATATGATTAACCAAAGGAATACTTTCATTTGGGAGCTGTTTTTGGCTCATATCAAACACAAAAAATTGATTCTCTCGTTTGTGGGTTGCTTTCATATTGTTTTCTTCTCGGAAATATTTTCAAGACATTTTTTATTCAATCTCGTTTCGGACGTACACACTTGGGTTTTTGCGTGAATGCTATCTTATAAAAGTTATGCACGTTCTTTTTAAAAATTGTTTGTCTTTTTTCTTCGTATTTTCTTTCTTTTCAGTTCCTCTTTAAGGAATGACTTATTTAGAAAGAGAATTATACGACGACAAAAAGACAAGTTGGAGGCTCCAAAAGTTCACTAAAAAAATGAAAACGCGATATTCTAACTTTTATTATTATTATTATTATTATTATTATTATTATAATAGAAGGCTACCATTGGCCACTAAAATGCAAGTGAAGGATAATGTGAATCTCCATTTAAAATGCGATATTATCTACCATCATGATCCCAACATCTATGTTGATTGGAGAACTATTTTATACAATGTCTAGTTTATAAAGATGAGGATGATGATAGTGTCAACAACAACTAAAAGCTCATCTCTCTTTTAAGAAAGAAGTTTCAATAGAAAACTAATATCGAAGTTTTGTTACATGCATAACTTTTCGAAATAAAATTAGATATAAGTGGGCAGTGAAAAACAATCAGTGGATACTTAATGTAAAGTTAAAATTGTAGCACGAAGACATGTATTGATCAGGTTTAAATAGCGCAAAAGCACAAAAATGTCATAAAAATGAGTGTTGCCACTGACTTACACGATATACATAGAGATATATATATATATGACCATAAAATTTCCACCTTTAATCAAAACAATGATCAATATGATTCTTCATAACTACTAAATGTGTCACCTTTTCTTTGCACAATACACATTTTAGTATTTGAAATTTGAATATTAAATTTTGACTCAATTCAACTAGTGCTTTATTTGATTTTGATGAATCACTATGGTGATATAATAACAAATGAATTTAATAATAGGCTGCATCCATTCATATAGATATAAGCTATTAATTTCTTATGAAGTTGAGCTCATTTAAAATACAAAATTACACTACATCAAAGATAGAATTAATTATTAACATGCATGCCACCTAATCTTATATATTTACATATCTACTGCCTAAATTTTATTTTTGACATTTGATACGCCACCAACAAATTTTCATCTTCCGACTCGAATCTAGAGGCATGATATGAATCTCGAGACGATATTTTAAATAGAAAACAATTAAATCTTGATAAAAAATCATTCAGAGCTTTGATTTCAACAAATTTGTAGCCAAACTGACCGGCTTGATGAGACGGACCTAATGATAAGAAAACTAGCCCAATCCGAGTCAAATCAAGCCCAGATCATGTTATTGAACCACACTTAGATGATTTCCAGACACATTTGGAAGATCAGAGGGTTGTCGAATATTATAAGTTTATACTCGAATCGAGCGACTCGACAAAACGAATCTAACGAGCCCCAAATCACTCAATTCTGACATCATTAAGATACTCAAATGTCTAGTAAATAACGTACGATTGAGGGAAGCTCTCCGGATAGTCCGATCAAAATGATTCATATTCCTGCATTAATTGCACCCAAAACACTATAAATAAATCTCTTTCATCATCTAAACAAAATCATAATTTTAACTTTCAAAATTGAAATTAATATGGCATGAAAGTAAAACCAGGGTGTTTAGATTTCAGAAATGTAAATAAATAAGAATTGAGGGGTATGCATGTCAATTCTTCCGCAATTTAATTCTGTTCTCTGCCAAGCCTTCCCGGATAAACCTCCATCAAGCGGTGAGGGCAGGTGTGCGCCATGGCCACCTCTTCCACTCTCTTCTCTACGCTCTCTCTTCTCACTCCCTGCAACTCCAGCGTTACCTTTAAATCGAAAAACTCACTCTCTGCTCTCCACTCCTCCAAGCCGCTTACTTCGCTTTACTCCCGTTCCCATTCGTTCAAGGTCTTGGCCGCTCCAGAGCTCTTGGACTCACGGGAAACCCTATCTGGCTCCGAAGCACTAGGAGGTTTGGAGGTCTGTGGTCTGTGCAGTGTTTTTTTGTCTCATTTCGATGGGGAATTTACTAACTCATTGCTTATTGATTGATCCTCTGTTGAAGGCCAAGGGACCCGAGCCGACTTCTCTGACTCTTGAGAGTGATGCTGATAAGGTACTGAGGTTTCTTTTCTTACATCTATTAGATGATGAAATGAAAGTGTTCTATTTTATAAGCTGGTTAATGGAGCTGCTCTTGCGGTTGGATTTATTGAAAGTTTGGCTATGTTTTGCTTTGATTTTGACCTGACCTTTGGTAATTGGTTCGCTGGCAAAATGGGATAAGTGTTTTTTTTTTTTTTTGTAAAATTGATTTCTTCCAATTCTACTAGCAAAGCTTCAAAATCTTATTCTCATGTTGGTGTCTTAGGGTCTGTTTGGAGCAGCTGCAACTTATTAAAAAACTGTTGTGCAACAGCCACAATTGGAAACTGCTTCAGAAAAGCTGGTTATCTGTTTATTTTTTGCAGTTTCAAAACAGTTGCTGTGCTGCAGTTGTTTTTGAACAAATGATCTTTCTACTTATGTACTATAGTGTCGTTTATAACAAAACTATTCATACTAGCACATTTCATAGTTAAAAACAAACTTTCAGTTTGAACGTTACAAAAAAAAGACAGACATCTCATAAAAATGTGAGTAACATGACAATAAAAAAATTATTAAAATAATAATTAATAATATGATAATATTGTTTTTAAAATGCATTTGGTTTATGTCATGAGATAAGTCGTTCTCCATGGAAACTCGTCACCCCCGATTACAATCGACGATCAATTTCTCTAATCCATCTGCCCACCTAAAGTAATCACAATTTTCTGTTCTCATCGGACACCTATAAAACTGTCTCTCGTAGCTATGTTACTATCGCGAAGTAAACAGAGAACATGTAGTCCACAACAGCAATAAAATGCTTTGAAGGTACCATAAGTTTTCAAGCTTATCTTTTATAAAGGTATATAACAACAAAGCATAAATCTTTTGATTCAACATTAGCGAAAAAAATATTAGAAGAAATTAATGCAAGTTCTATGAAGGCGTAAGGTCGGAGAGAACACAATATATAAACCAATGAATCTGTTACACAAGAAGACATCAAATCTTATAAAAAAATGTTTCTTGGTTGTTTTAAAACCATATAATATCGAGCTCGTATGTGTCAGATATGCATATCACAAAAAAAAGTCATCCAAAAGAGCCTCAGAAGCCATAACACTGAAAAAAAAGATGAACTGGATTGCTTTTATTGGTATTTCACATGTGAAAAGAATCAATAACGACATATAAGTCATTTAGAAAAATCCTTAAGGTTGAATGTCACATCATTGACATCCAAAAAATAAAAAATAAAACATTTGATAAATATTTATATTATATTATATATATACGGTTGCCACATCGACCATGTAAGTGTGGTGGAATAAATGCAAAAGATGGAAAATAAAATTGAGATTTAAAATATAGATGATTGGATAAAACATCGATATAACAACAACAACAACAACAACAAACCTTAATCCCACCACTTGGGGCTGGCTACACGAATCTTTTTTCTCCATTGCGTCCTATTTATTGTCATATTTTCAACAATAAAAATTTTCACCTCTCATTGCAAATAAAGTAGTAAAAAAAAAAACAATCGGCTCATTCAACAACCGATAATGGTGTTTGTAATTCGTTCTGTCAACTCTATCATGTTCTCTGCACCTTCCCCATCTTGGGTGAAACTCAGGTAATTCATTTTCTGTCTATGATAAGGATTGCCCTAGGCGATATTCAAATGCTTCAGTAGGGTAATGTGAATGTTCTTCGTCAGACCTGTTGAATTCAGTGTCACTGTGCGAAAGATATTGTCGAATATAATTGTGGAAAGTCATTGTGGCCACTACAATCTGCACTTGCTTGGGAAACAAATATGCCATCATAGCTCGCAATATGATCAATTTTTTCTTCTACACTCCAAATATTCTTTCGATGACATCATGTAACGATGAGTGTCTTTTATTAAACATTTCTTTTGTGCCCCCAACAAAATTTGTTGGATCTTTCAAAATCACAAATGTGATATTTGATATCTAGAAATGACTTTAAAACTTTGTTTTGTAACCGGTATCCACCGTTCACCAGATAGTATTTATCTGGTATAAATTCAATAATTAATATTACACTGAGGAAACATCTAATTAGGATTTATGTGGAGCAAAACCAAGGGATGGGTTCTCATGCCAAATTTGAATATACGACCGTTGTGTGCATGGTCTTTCCAACCAGCTATAGATTTATTAAATTTGAAATCACAGACAACCTTTATATTTTGTGTTGGTGATCCACACTGCCCAATGAATGTGACATTTTTATTATTCAATACACGTGCATCCACGTGTATTTCATCAATAACTCAAATACAATTTTAAAAAAATTAATAAGGGTATGTAGATTATTGTATTCATTTGACTACTGAAATTAATGAATTAAAATAATTACCTTAAAATATGGTATATACTGCGGGTCATGTGCAATCTCTATGGGAGTTTGTTTAAATATTTAGTCATCTAACTTGATAATTTGTGATAATAAACTGATTAGAGCATTTAACCAACTGAAATTTATCTACTAATTGTTTCAGATGAGTCTTGGAATCACTTCATGGCTTCTCTCATAGATTCATTATGTGATAAAATATTGACAGTTTTTGCTAATACATCTTTGAAAGTCTTTCTGGAAGAGTCATGAAGTTCAGGATTCTTGTTTACTTCCTCGAAAAGATCGACGAATACGGGTTGTGCCATACGAAACATATTGTCGAATCTTATTCGGTGCACCACAAACAACTAGTCAACCCACTTATCACCAATGTATGAAAATTTCATGCTAAGAGTGCGAGCTATGTATGAATTATAGTACTCGTACATCAAACATATCACAACTACAATCCTTCTTCTACGTCTTTCTCTATTTTTATCCATGTTAATCAATGTCTATATAGCTACCACACATAAAAATCACCAAAATAATAAGTATAAAAACATCTTCTAAACAAACAATATTCATAAAAAAAGCTTGGAGTGGTATATAATAAAATGTACAATAAAAAGCAAATATCCAAAGCAGTGTTGATAGAGTCCCAATAAATTCTAAGTAAATATAAATTCTCTGGCTAGAAAAAAGAAATTCAAGCATCCCTGTTGTCATTAAAATAACATAAATAATAAACCCTACGGTTAGAGGCCATTGTCATAAATAACTCTTTGGGTCGAGTCTTCAAGCAACTTCATAGAGAATAAGTATAACGACACTTCCGCATAAATCTCCGGAGTTGCCTCTAGAATTAATTACCAATGAACAAGAATTAATTCCAAAACCACATCACCCCACTACCATCACCAACATCACCCCACCACCACCACTAACATCACCACTCATACGACCAACATGACACCACCACCACCACCACCAACTAAACAACCAACAACACACATAGAATTAGAA